CATTTATTAGCTTCCACCTACAGGACAGAATCTCGCCAGACTGAATCTAAACTTCCCAAGCCAGCAAGCAGACACCGCAAATTCCTTAGGGTGGTGCCAGTCTCATCCTCTTCACCTTTCCACACTCATTCTGGGGACTAAGGAAATGCTTATCTCCCCGAGTGCGGCCTTCACCAAACCATTCCATCACAACTGGTTGGAAATTCTGAAAATTGTACTGATGCATCTGGAGTATCCCAGGTTAGAAAAGTCTGGTTTCAAGATTATGATTTTTCTTTTCATGAACTATAAAAACAAAACATGAAGGAAAGAGAAGAAGAGGATGATCAATACAAGGTGGATGGACTCCATTACAACAGTGATGGGTGCAGCATTGGAAGACCTGAAGGACCAGCTTGGGACAGTTCCTCCTGGAGAAAATCTATCTATGTGGTTGCTAAAAGTCAACACTGACTTGATGGCACATAATCAATCAATCGGTCAATAATAAAACAAAGCCAGATTATGCTATACTGGATGAGTTCATTACTATATCCAATATTTTTTGATACACAGAGTACATTTTGCACATTAGCTGTTCAGTATCCAGAGGTTTTGGGATATTAGTTTCTTAAGTACACAGTTGACTCAGTTCTCTAACTCTTTACAAGGTAAACACTAAGTATTTAATAAACATGCCAGGGTTTTAATTAGACCAATTCCAATTTCTGGGATTTCATTTGCATTAGATTTAGTGTCTAAACATGTTGTGAGTATACTGTTTGGGGGATTTGTTCATTAAATGAGGATTCTAAAGCTGTTTTCACACAATACACTAGCCCATGGTTAATTCAACCATGCTTTACTGACTTAAGACACTGAACCATAAAACTAGTTACTCTTAACTGTTTGGTAAAATGTACTCTGCCACAAACAAGCTAACCACATTTTAGCTTAGCATTTTGTGCAAACTTGGCCTAATGTTTCACCAAGGCAGGCAGTGTGCTGAAGGGAATGCAGCATGTGTTATAAGGCTAGATAGCTACATACACTGGTGACTTTATCATTATGCATAATCTGGAAGATGCCTTAAGAAATTAATTTTTATAGATTTTATGAAAAAGGAGCCAAACCTGTCTGGGCTTGGAAGCTAAGCAGGACTGAACCTGGTTAGGTCTTGAATGGGAGAACATGTGGAAATCACAGGGCTGTCAGAATGCAGTTGCAGATGTGGTATTGGGCACACCAGGGTATGCCCATGTGCCACCATGGCCACAAGAGCTGCACTGGTTCCCAGTAGGGTTCCAGATGTGATTCAAGGTACTTTAGCTCTCTATGGCCTGGGACCAGGTTACTTGTGGGACTGCTTGCCTGTGATGGTTTCTGCCCATCCCACCAGATTTAACAGAGCAGGCTTGTGCTGGGTTCCTTCAGTGAAGTAGTGTCAATTGGTGGGCAGAATGGTAGGGAGCATGCTTCTCTGTTATAGTGCCTATCTTAGGGAACAGCCTCTCCACCAGGGATTTGCACAGCTTTGACCCTGCTGGCCTTCTGGAAGGCCATGAAGACCCTGGCCTTTTCCCCGGGCCAGTTGTTAATGGAGCTCTGGGATAGGTACGTGCAACAAGTTGGTACTGAAATAATTTTATAGGGGCCTCGACTTAGCTTTTCTTTTAATTGATTTGAATTATTGCATTGTGTTTTTATCTTTGTTTGCTGCCCAGAGTTCTATTGGTGAGATGGGCTGGCATATAAATTTGTTAAATAAATAAATAAAATAATGCAAGGAAAAGTCACATTTGATTTAAGGTATTCTGACATGCAGACATACTCCCATACATGCGTCCAAATCATGTTTTGTCCTTTGAATTCGGGCCTCTGTTAATGAGATATATGCATAATATATCAATATATATATCAATATATATATATTCTGACATGCGGACATACTCCCATACATGCGTCCAAATCATGTTTTGTCCTTTGAATTCGGGCCTCTGTTAATGAGATATATGCATAATATATCAATATATATATCAATATATATATATTCTGACATGCGGACATACTCCCATACATGCGTCCAAATCATGTTTTGTCCTTTGAATTCGGGCCTCTGTTAATGAGATATATGCATAATATATCAATATATATATCAATATATATATATTCTGACATGCGGACATACTCCCATACATGCGTCCAAATCATGTTTTGTCCTTTGAATTCGGGCCTCTGTTAATGAGATATATGCATAATATATCAATATATATATCAATATATATATATTCTGACATGCGGACATACTCCCATACATGCGTCCAAATCATGTTTTGTCCTTTGAATTCGGGCCTCTGTTAATGAGATATATGCATAATATATCTATAGTAATCTATAGTGATCTCTCGATTTAAGAGATCACTTGGGGAAAAGGGGTGTCTGTTCAATCAAATGTCTGTTGAATCTGAAGATAGTTTCTGTTTCTGTAAAAAAAAGTGTGTTCCCTATTGTGTCCGTGCATAAAAGTGTGCTTCCTGCTGGCTTGCACATCCCAGGTCTTCCCAGTGACTTCCCATCAGCCTGTAAACCTTCCCCAATTTTCCCTAACCCTTCCGAGAAATAGTAAATATTTTGGTTTAGCAAATTTGTCCGCTATTTTGGGAGGGAGGATGTCTGGCCTAATTTTTTTTTTCAGTGCATTCAAATCTATCCAATCAAGGTCCATTAAATCAAGGGTTTATTCTACAACAAATAACGTTAGAATTAGTTTCTATGTCAGAAGTTCATTTTATGTGACGTGTTTGAGGTGTGAGGAATGTTTGCATGTGAAAGATTCTGTTTTGCCCTCTGCAGCATTGGATAAGCCCATGGAATATCTGCTGGTCTCTTTCAAAATGGGAGAATTCCAAAAGACGTATGGTTTTGATCCTAGAAAGCATCTTTTCCTGTGGAGAAACAGCTAGCTGGATGAAGATGCTGCTTTAACACTGACCAAATTCACAATGTGCTAAGCCACGGCTTATTTAATTATGATTTGCTGAATAAGCTATTACTGCCTGGCTTCACACAACATACCAAGCCAGGATGAAGGGGCACATTTTGCAGCCAGCGGGCACATTTAAATTTTTGAGTGTTGCCATTGGTGGGGATGGCTAATCGCAAAACACTCATTTGCCAGAAGGAAACTAGAACGGTGCTCCCCTCCATTCTCTCTAGCTTTGTAGGAATTTGTCAGCTCATCCTCAGCTTGTGTGTGTGCTTTCAAGCCAGTTTTGACTCCTGGTGACTGCCTGGCCAAGTCCATGCAGTTATTGGAAGTGGTTTGCCACTGTCTTCTTCCTAGGGCCAAGAGGAAAGGACTGGCCCAAAGTCACCCAGCTGGCTTTGTGTCTAAGGCGGGACTAGAACTCACCGTCTCCTGGTTTCTAGCCTGGTGCCTTAACCACTACACCAAACTGTCTCTCACTAGTTCAGCTTACTTTTCTCTTTTTCCCAAGCAGGTGAGCATGTTTTCAAAGAAAGGAAGTGCTGGGTTGGGTTGCAGCCATCAGCATCTTATTATCCAAGAATCCCTCTGGCCTGTTTGTGGTCCAGAGACAATGTCTGAAATACAGATTACGCTCCAGGCTGTTGATGCACAGCATACAAGCCTCTCATTTATTTATTCTTAATTAAATGAATCATTTAAAAAAATCCAGCGGGGTAAGGAATATGGTGGGTGTCTGGGCACAATGCTGGAGACCAAGGAACTAAGCCAGGACTGAGCAAACAACATTATTGCTTAGCACAATGTGAGGACTCTGTCACTGATTTGTTGTTATGCCAACAAAAGCTTTCAGTGGCCATGTAACCATCCACAGAACGGAAGAGGTTGGGAAGTGCTGTGCTAAGCCATAAATCAAAGACAAACACATGTTTTTCCCCAGGGACCACACTTTTTTGTCTTTCTGCCTCGAGGCTTAGAACAGGGAAGAATGCGAGGTCTTCAGAAGGGTGGGCCCACATGTTTTCCTTTGCTTAAAGAAGTTTTGAAGGTGGGGCCAATATAAAGAAAAATAGATATGATAAGAAAGGTCAATAAATGCGCAGCTGAAAACTGTCACTTGGCAATTAGATTTCAAAGGGGCTGTCTTGGGAAGTAGGGCTCTCCCTTAGAATGGCACGAAATATACATGCTGCTGAAGAATAGCACTATCACTTGATACAGACAGCTATTGTAGGAGTACTGAGCAGCAAGGGGTTCCCCATCTAACAACAGTTTGAACATCCAGTCTGGCTACATTTTACCAAATGAAAAGATGGCAACATCCATGGGATACTCAGCATGACATCAGCATGCACATAGCTTGTAGCACTGAATATGTGTTGATCGGAAGCTTAAATGTTGTGGTTAACTCACATTCCAGAGACACAATTGCAACTTATTTCCAGCTTTGCAAGAAAATGTGTACCTTCCATGTTGTGGTTAAGCAAGATCCATAAAAAATATAATTAAAAGTCATGGCAATGTTAGCAGCAAACGCAAAAGCAAAGCATTTTGTAATTGGACATATGTATTATCTGAGAAATACTTACCAATGGGGAATATCCTGCTCCATTTAGAGAGCTGGAGCAATAAAAATATCTGGGCTGGTCCTAGTGAAGAACTAAATCATTCTTGCACCTTTCAAACCTGCCTGCTGCTCTGTGGCTTTCTCTTCATGTGAAAAAGAAATTGGGAGACCAGGGTTTTTCCATGCAAGAAGTATTAAAAGTGTATAGATTTCTCATTTTTCTATTAGTTTCACAGCACTTTTGAATCCCAGTGGAGTTTACCCCCACACACAAAGCACCATTTCCTCCTTTTGAATAGCCACAAAAAAAAACATTACTTGCATGAATGCCCTTTAATGTCAATCAAATGAATGCTACAGTGAGCTCACTCAGAAGATGGCCATGTCAAAAACTGGGGGTTGACTTGAACTAGGCAAAGTTCAGGATTCAGTCAAGCAGTAATATGCTTGGCCATGTATTTGGCTTGGAACCCTTCCCAGACTTACCACATCATCACTATCCAATCCAGCTGTTGGTAGCCAGCAAGTGTCAAGGTCTGTAAGATGTGAGCTGGGCATATAGCAAAGAAACTGCACGCGTCAAATCAAGTCTAGTCAAGATGCATTTCCAGCAGGCTATTTTTGTCCTGCGGAAAGATGGCAACAGAATCGTCTTGAAAAGTTATGCTATAGACCAGTGCTTCTCCAATGTGACAACTTTAAGATGCGTGCAGGGCTGGCTGGGGAATTCTGGAAGTTGAAGTTCACACATCTTAAAGTGGCCAAGTTGGAGAAACACTTCTGTAGACCATCGGTATCTCTCACATCCCATGCATCTTG